ACATACATGAATGCATGCATACATACTTTCTTGCTTACTTACTTATTTCAATGTATGTATGTATGTATATATATATATACACATATATATATATACATACACGTACACATATGCACACTAGACAAAACTCCAGCACGATAACCTCATCATTCAGGCCGGTATGTTCCTATACTGGGGGACCCAGTTAACTCGAGCTCTGCTCGGGACTTTGCGCTGGCTTCTCACTCTCGAAGCCGAAAGTCGGAATGGACTCCGGCGTGATGACGCCTGAAGGGTTTAGGCTTGGGGGTTCAAGGCTTAGGGTTTAGGGTGACCAAAACACGAAGTTTAATACTAGTGTTGGACAATAGCCACAGCAGCAAGTCTACGAAAAGACGCTTTCTCAAGCACTCGCAGCTTTCGGTAGTATATAACATATAGGAATGGTCGAATTCTTAAGTAGTCGTGGTCGTGCCAGTGGTGATCGTGGTAGTGGTAGTGGTGGTAGTAGTACTAACTCGACGACGGCGAGGACTACCACAACAGAACTCGGCCTCTGTCCATGACTTGGAATCAGAGGCATGCTCAGGGAAGGGCTAGGGCGGCTAGGACTAGGACGAGGAGGAGGAGGAGGTGCAACAATAGGACTAGCGGTCCGAGCAGGAACAGTGGCGCAAGCAATCAAGCGAGCAGGCAAACAAACAGGAGCACCCTCAGACAAAGAAACAGAGATGTGCCAGACACGCCTGAAGCATAGCCCACGCCGACTGCCGCAGCAGCGGCGAGCACCCCCGGGCTCATGGCGGCCCCAGCAGCTGCGCCGGCAACGCCAATGCCCAAGTCCAGGGCCCCGGCCACAAGGCCCGTTCCGGCTGCAACCAGCCCCGTGCCTGCTGGCAAAAACCGAAGAAGAGTCAAGATGGTTGCGGTAGCTGTGGTCATGACACAAAAGCAAAAAACTAGGCAGGCATGGAGGTAGCCATGCCAACTACTGAAGCCGGGGACATCGCTGAAAGGCACTCTTCGAGAGCCCTGGGTATCAAAGATAGCAAACTTTGCGCACTTGCGGCATCCTCACCGAACCTGCCTCTTTCTCATGTGTCAGAATGACGACTGATACAGGCTTCTCCGCATGAGCTCTCCTTTTTTCTTCCTCCACCGAGTATTTAGCTTGCAGTGGGTGGACTTCGCATGTGAGAGAACCTACGAGTCTGTCCCGAGAAAGCTTTTGTATGTTGGCACTACAGCTACGATAAGAGCACCCGAACCCATCATCCGTAGCTGCAGCACGCAGCCCAGCCCTCAAGTCAGCGAAGGTGCCCAGTGCCGCATCGGCGGCCACAAACGCGCCAGCACCCAGGACGGTCTTGACCTGCCGAACAAGCGCACCATGGATATTCCGTCAACCTGGGTCCAGAAATCCTGCAGCGTATTCCAAACTATGCACTCAAAGGCTATCTCAATCCCTGGCGGTGCTACATGTGGGCAAGTTAAGTTTGGAAGAGCTCCAGAGAGAGCGAGAGACACGGAGAGACAGAGAGAGAGAGAGAGAGATAGATGGACAGATAAAAAACGGGTAGGTAGGTATAGTTAGATGGATAGACGGATAGATAGACGGACAGACAGACGTCCACAACTCAGGGCCTTGACAGCTGGAATAGGGATTGTGGGTTATGCTCTAGTATGTGTTGAAACAGGGAGTATCAAGAGATAGCGTACTGAATATTCTGACCCCTATATTGCCGGCGCGAGCTCCGACTGGAAGCTCGGTGCTACAATCCCCAAAGATACTGAAACTCCATCTCCTACACCCGAAACTACCTGATCCGAAATCCCACAGAGCCCCAGACTCCTTAAGCCCAAGCCGAAACTCCTGCAAGAGGGGCCATCAGAGGTAGAGGGCTTTTGGGTATCTTGAACCATTAAGATAGGCAGGTGTAAGGGAGGGGCCCGGTTTGAGGTTTTTCGTTTGGGGTTTACACTACTATAGTACAGGTGCCGGGGCCTGCTCCGCTTGTCTAAACGGCAGCTGCTCCTTGTCAATCCTCAGCCGTTGCAGTTGCCCCGTTAGGGTCTGGGGTCTAGGGTTCCGGGACTAGGGGTTCAGGGTTTAGGGCGCGAAAGGGTTAACGGTTGAGGGTTTACGGCTCACAGAGCTTGGGGCTTAGGGCTCGGAAAACGCAGCTAGAAGCCCAAACTCTAAACCCACTAATTTCGCTCAGGGAGCCTTGTTGTGAATTTCAAGACTTGGCAATCGCACCTAAACCCCAACCCTAGCCTTATATCTCGTGTCTGAGGCTGTGAGGTTGTAAAGAGCATACGGCCAAAAGAGCCCGACGATGCCAAGGAAGGTTCCCTTGAATGATGCCCTAGCATAACCCACGGAGTGGTAGAATGCCTGTTTGGGCGTCTCTAGTAGTTTCGAGTGAGCGGTTTGCCAATTAACCTGAAGCTGAACCTAAGCCCGAAATCCTAAACTCAATACTCCTAAGCCCTGAGCCTTAGACCCCAAACACCCGTAACCCTGAATCAGCTGCTTCCTGCAGAACAGCGGCCCCATGTAAGTGCATAGCTCCACGGCAAAGTCCTGGCAGCGCGAAGCGCTGGAACGCTGGCTAAACATGGAGTCATCTGCAACAGAGCCGAGCTCTTTGTGAAATTATCTTAGGACTATGCCCAGCATGCTGCGAACACCTTGCCGAGCTGGAGTCTGGGTCTTGCTGCGAACTACTGCATTCTTCAGCAAAACTGGACCCCAAAACGTTGATCCAAAATACATAGCAATATCCTTGACAATAAGAACCTCCAACACCGGATCCCCAAACTGAACCGAAAGCTCCATCTTGCAGTCGATGCAAGTATCCCTGAGCCATCGCCGAAGCCCCATTTTCAAGTCCAAAACTGCAGTTCGAAGTTCCTACGCTTTGCTCATCCCCTTAACCCGGTAAAGTATGAACAAACCTAGTCAGGAAGCCCAAGCAGTAAGCTAGTTATGGAACTTCAGCTTGAACCTCAAACTTGCTGACACCGGAAAACTGCAGCCTGGCAGTTCTTTCCGCCGAAGATGTTGTTGCCGGCTGCATCGTAGGTGTGATCCACGCCGAACTGTGTGCACCACTGAGAAATCTCCCGGTGCGTCTTTTCAGTACGACCTGCATAGTAATGATGTTGTTAGGAAGGACTTATGCAAGTTTCGGGCTTATAGTGTTGTGGCTATGCTTCGCATAAACATCGATGGTGTCATCGAGCGCGTCCCTAGACGGAGTTAAGCATCTGCAGGGTAACTAACGGGCACGGGGCTTCGGGTACAGATCCGGGTGGGGAGAGGGGGGCACATCGGACTAATCCAACGATTATCATAAGAGCCAGGATAAACACCAGCCTCCAAAACGAGAGCTTCAAAACCACGCAATGAAGCGATGCATATCGAGGCACTCGGGCACTGCAAAGGTCCGAAGATGTAGCATGATGCTCTGCTTCGAACTTGCGGCTTACGTGCCGAAGCTGGATCCCCCTAAACCCTAAAGACCTACACCCTAAACCCGGAAAACCCGGAAGCGCTAAACCCTACAGCGATGGCCCCTAAAACCAGAAAACCCTGAACACCTCGAAAGGGATTTCAGCCAGGTTTTGGGATAGCGCCGTCATACTAACAGAATCCTCAATAGAGGACCCCCCCCCCCTCCCAAAAAAAAGAGCCTGATGGATCAAACCTCCTCCTTGCAGAAGGATGATACAAGGGATGCTACTCCTATCGCCCGACAGGAAAAGGTAATGATGATCAGGGCTCAGGGCTCTACATTGTTTGCCAGAGATCCTTACTGATTTGAACAGATCCGAAAAAGGAAACACGCGTAAAGCCCTTCGGTTTGGGACGGTTGAACATAATAACCTGACAATATGATAACACGATTAGCAGTAAAAAAAAGGTAACAGCCCTTATGGTGATAATGAGTTAACCAACAACGACAATTTATCATAGCAGCAATGAGCAATTACAGTTGAAGTAAAAACAAACATGATTATAGTCAGTTATAGTAATCACATCAACGGCACCTTCCAGCTTCTGTGAGCTGATGGGAAGGCCCTTGTCGAGGGCCGTTCGCTTGCCCATCAGTACTCCGTCGGCCTCAAACTCGTAACCTCCCAGGGCTTTATAGGGTTTAGGGGGTTTAGGTTTTAGTCAGGGGCCTTTCATGAGTAGAATAGGGTTCCCCTTTAAAGGGTTCCTGAAAAAGGGATACTACAAGGGCAACTGTAATTAGGGTTTAGGGGCCTTAATAACTAGAATAGGGTTTTGGGCCCATTCTACTATAATTATAATAAGGAACCCCCAAAATAGTATAGGTAATTGTTTAGACCCCCATATTAGAGTTTGGGGTTCAAGGCGGATCGGGTTGGAGCTGGTGAGGCTGCGAGGGTCGCGGCTTCAGTTTAAGGGAATTTGGCCGCAAGATCATGCGGAATGCAAGCCAAGCAACATCGCGAAGCCTTTGGCCCCACCACTCGTAGAGCCCAGTGCATAATGATGTCATTCTGCGGCACAATATCCTTACAAACTGGGATCGTCGACTTCGTCTCAACAGCACTACGATACGACAGCGACAGCGACGAGGACGACCTCGGCGGCTGCTGCCCCTTCCACAGCCGCCACCACCACGTTGCCACGGCAAGGTCGTTGCACAAGGTCGACGGATCTGCAAGCGCTACTACGACAAGACAACACTGAAACGGTGACCTCAACGACAACGAGAAGCGGCATTTCCGGATGCGCTTCGGATTTCAGGATAAGGCCCGTGCTTCTGGCTCTGAAAGGTGTGGAACGGTGCTGTCTGTCCATGCGAATATTGCTTCAAGACCAGAAAGGACACATACTAGCATCGCTCAGAGTTTCAACTGACACCCAAGATCTACCTTGCTTGAACCTACGTACCCTGACTGACTCAAACCAGTCGCCAAGAAGACGTCCTTTGCCTCGTTATCCAGCAGTCGTTTCAGCTTGTGACGCTTCCTTGGCTGCCGCTTTCCGGCGCAGGTTTGAGCAGTTCGTGCCGTCGTGGGATGCACAGAACCCCACTGCCGCAGAACAACTCGCCATCAATTCAAGCTGAATCCTATGTAGATCCTAAACCCTTAAAATGCTGTACAAGACCCTAAACCCTAAACCCTAAACCCTAGAACCTAATTCTGATCCAAGCTCTTCTGGAAGACCCACTGCCTGGCTTCGAAGGCCTCAAACTCCAGGAAGGCATCCTCATGCTCATCAAGCTTCACGATAAGACCAGTCCTGGACTGCTCGGCGGTGTAATAATGGGGTCTTGGTGTATAATGTAGTATAGTACAGTCTATAAGGACTATAGAGATGGTATTACCCCGATATGAAGCCTCTAACCTCAACTAAGCTTCCATATTTGTAGTGCTAAGCGATAGTCAACCTAAACACGAACCCCTGAACCCCTAAACCCGATGCATAAAGTCACAAAATCCAAACAAGCTCTCCGTGCTCCATCATTCCACCAGGAGGCTACCCCAGTATTAACATCCAACACCCAAAACCCTACACCAACAACCCCAACCCCTGAACCCTAAACCCCAGACCCACCCCCCACCCCCCCCCCCCNNAACCATAAATACTAAACCCTAAACCCTAAACCCTAAACCCTAAACCCTAAACCCTAAACCCTAAACCTAATAAACCTGAAGCCGCCAAGCCGAAAACCCCAACCCCTGAAGCTCAGGCCGGGGTGCATATCAGCTTCCAGTCTGACTTGGTCTTCCTCCAGCCGGTGCAGAAGTTTTAGTCTTGGGTTTAGGTCTTGCGATCTTGGGGTTTAGGGTTTATTGGTTTCAGGGTTTTGTTTGCAGGGCTTTACGGTCAATGGCTTCAGATTTTAGGATACAGGGTTTCGGTTTTAGGGCCTTCGCCGTGCACTGTACGCCTCTGTGTGCTGCGTGGCGTTTGCTGCCAAGTCTCTGAGTCTGACATGAACGGCTCAGTCACGCAGACCTTTTCTTCACAGGGTGCAGCTTACCATTTTCAAACACATTTTCTGGTCTGGCGCGAGTTAGCAAACCTCCGCCTCTTCCTCGTGACATGCTAAGGTTGCGGCAACGTCTCCCACTTGCCATGCTGCAGCTGCTATCCAGCCTGGTTCCGCGGGCTATCTGGCATCCCCTGCCTGGGGTTTTGTGGGTTTGGGCTGAAGGTTGGACGAACTCCACACCTCGAACCCTGAACCAAAAGGCCGCACCATCCTCAATGGCATGCATTTAAGCCTTGGTTTCCACAATTAAACCAAGGTTGGGGTGGTGCGGGGGATAGATGATCTTATGCTATAAGTATAACAGTGTCCCTGATATGTGTTGCAGCTGCACTGTAGCTATATGCTGTAAGCCCCCCAACACCCACCCTCTTCGGCCTTGGATCGCTTCCAACCATGCTTTCAGCTCTTCAGCCTTCTCGGCCTCAGGCGAACTTCTTCGGTGAAGGGCATCGAGCTTAGGGTTTATGGTTTTCGGGTTTTGCTGAAACCATATGCAACATGGTAAAGCCCAGACAACAACCTGTGTAAACCTTTATCAACCCACAAGACCGTCATAAAAAAAAAACACCTCGTTGCAACTCTCTAAACCCCATAAGGCCCTTACAACATCTTTGTACAAAGCCTGCGAGTTTAGGTCTTTGCCCGTGGAATGCAAGAACTGCAGCGGTTTGATGGCATCTGATGCCAAGAAGCAACGTTCGGTTGGTGAAGCTGTGGGGTCTATGCTTTAGGATTTAGGTTTTAGGGTTTAGGCCTTCGGTTTGAGGCTTTAGGCTATAGGCCGATAACATTTTAGGGCTAAGATAACAGAAATAAGCTTGAGCAGGCGGTACTTCATGGGTAGTTTTCTAAATTAGGGTCCCTTTTGGGGTCCTTTTTATAAGGGTGCCGTACTATATTGGGTACCGAAAATGGGACCCCAATTTAGAGAACTACCCTCATGCTGCGAAGCGACATCGAAATAGCTCATGTTGTGTAGTCGCCCAGCAGACGACAAATCCAGAGCAAAGCCAAAAGGCCGGTCTGTCCTGAAGAGTCTCAAGCCCCAAGCAGGCCAGGAGGCATGGACCATGGGTTTAGGGGTTTCGGGTTTAGGGGTTTCGGGTTTAGGGGTTTGGGGTTTAGGGGTTTAGGGGTTTAGGGGTTTAGGGATGCTTACCGTACAAAGGCAATCATGCCCAGCAGGATCTGCTAGTACTAAGCCGGACTAAGCCCGTGGTTTCAACCCAGGAAACTAGAAACAAAGTCTCCGCGCCCTAACTCCCAGGAACACCAATGTCTTGACCTCACTTTTGTCGAGGCAACATAAAAAGGATTCTGCCCAGAAGCTTCAGCTTCAATGCTTCTCCTGCGCATGGGAGCAAGAGTAGGGCACCTAACTTGGAGACTTAGAAGCTACCTGTTCGCAGTTTAGGGCTGATCCGGATTGCTGCTCCACTCTGCCACTCTTCCGTTTAAACCTCAAACCCGAAACTCAACCGTCTATAACCCAAGAAGCCAAACCTTGAAGTCCGTATTCTACCGAGAGAAGACCTGCAGATCCGCCTGAAGCTTCTGGGCTCGCGAACGCAACGACTTTTGAACCTGCTGCTTCTTAGGGGTTAGGGTTTAGGGTTAAGGGTTAAGGGTTAAGGGTTTAGGCTTTAGGGTTAGGGGTCCCGAAGTGGGGTTTCGGGGCTGCTTCTCGTGGGGCTTCTGCAATCGTTGTAATAAACTTGAGCTGCTCCGTGTTGTGGTGCAGGGTTTATTCCTTTCCTTTACTTGGCATCGGATTGCGATCGGCACGGTTTCAAGAGTTTTCGGGCTAGGGCCGGCTAGGGCTTGGATCCGGGGACAGAGCGTGGGAGTGCAACTCAGATTCTTAGTGCCCAGCTCGGGTTTCGGGTTTGGGGCTTTCTGTTTTTGTTGCTTGCAACCCCGGGCTTGTGGGAAAATCCTAAACAATGGTTACATTTGGGTTTGAAGCAGCAGCATTTGCTCTGCGAGATCTACTGGCAGGCACAAGGCATAGCGTAAGTATCTTACCAAGCAGAAATAGGATAACCCCAGTCGGGTACAAAGAGCTCGAATTTGCTGTAGTCACGAACCATAACAACAAACCCGATGGATGCACTCTAGACTCTAGAACACTCACAACCACCTGCTTGCTAACCCCCTGAACCCCTAAACCTTACACCGGAACCCTAACTACGTCGTAACCCCACGTCGTTTGAAGGGCCTGGGCCGATGGACAGCTCTCCATCATGCTGCGCCGCCGCGCCTCATTTTAGGAGCTTCTAAGCCCTAAACCCTCGATCCCGAATCCTAAAGGGCTGCGATTGAGCGTTCCTACGTTGAGGACGGAGTTCATCGTGGACTTGACTCTACCATGGTGCTGGGGCGGATTTGATGGAGAGGTCATTCACTGCTTTAGGCTTCCCTCTGACCCTCAATAACCGAGCGCACCCTCAACCTTTAACCTACCTGTTCCCATGGCATCTTGTTGCTACTATCTTTCTCCTCTCGCTTGGCCAAGCGCTTTGGGCTTTATACGGCTTTGCAGTTCAAGGACTTCGGTTTGGGGAAACCTAAACCCTGAGGCTTCCGCGGCTGCCGCATGAGGGTTTGGATATCGAGGCTTCGGGTTTCGGGGCTTTGGGTTTCGGTTGAAATGTCCGAACCAAAACACCAAAAAGCCCTCAGCCCTGCTGTTTCAGAGGGGTGTACAGTAATTTTACACGGTGGTAACAGTGTTACACGGCAATTTAATTACAGAGCGTCAACACAGACTTTATGGTAAACTTTGTCGTATTTCCTGAAACCCTGAAGCACGGGCTAAAGCCTGAAGCGCAAGCGACAATCCCAAAACGACAATCTCAACCCCAAACAGATAAAGCCGGAAACCGTAAGCCCCCTAGAGCCAAACCCCGGCACTCGCACTGCAGTCTGCCTGTGGCACTGAGTACCCAGCTATCTGCGAAGTAGCGAAACCCGGTTTCATCGAGCACCTGTGGCAAATCTAAGCTTTCGGGCCTGAGACTCAGCCCCCACAGCCCACACAGTACGAGTATAGTATAGTACTCGATTCGATCAATTAATAATGTAGGTGTCGGACCGGTTGGCCAAGGCATGTAGCGGGGTGAGAGGGCGGTGAACTCGAGGTTAGGCCACTCTATTTTGGGGTGTAAGGATTCGGGGCTTGAACAGAATCCTTAGGGTTCTAAATCCGTGAATGCTCTCCCTGTGGAGACCCAGATCTGCAAAATGGGCTACGCAGAGCCATACTTTGACCAGTTTGAGCCTACTTCCCGTCCGGTTGTATATACATGGTGGGTCGCGGGCATCAGCAACATTAGCATCACCGGCATCACCGTCATCACCGTCCTCCTCCTCCTCATCATCATCATCCTCAACATCATCATATTCATCATCATCGTCCTCCTCATCAATGTCATATATATGTCAACATTACCATCACCATCACCATTTCTGACAGCCTGGCAGAGATAGCCAGTGTATGTTGTAGTGGTATAACTCGCAACAACCGGAGTCGAGCGCAATAATGACAGTCTTCATAGAGGTAGCAATGATGCTCGACATCTTTGCAATATTACTGCAACCGTACTACTAAGTGGCAACATGAACGAAGGTGGATATGTACATAGTAGCAATAGTGGCTCTAGCTGGCTGAACCGTCTGCTTTAGCACTACGCAGCGGTAGAGCTCGTACTAGCTGCAAGCCACGAAACCGATGCAATCGGAGCCCGTTTGCCCCAAGCCTGAACTCCCTTCCCACTCGCCAGCAGACATTCTGCCACTAACATAGAAGCCTGAGCAATTGCCAATACTGCTCCTACGGTGTCTTATGACACTGATGGTAGACCATACCCCCAAGGCCTATTCCAGTTGGATTCTGAAGCCAATCTTCTTGGATGAACTTATCGGCTGAGGGCTACAGTGGTGTTGTTCAGGCCTCGGGTTCTGGATTTTGGGCTCTTACTCCTGGAGTCCTGAAGGTCCCCAAAACAACGCTGAACTCTGAATGTTGTGGTCCCCTAAATTTTTAAGGTGAACCCCCCCAGCTGGCGTTTGGGCAATAGGACCAGTAGGGAAGCGACCTCGGGGATATCGGGGTCCTCTGAGGGCGTGGCACACCACTTGGAAGACCATACGTTCTGCAGCGCTGGTCCCCTTTTTAGCAGCCATCCCTCTTTCCGCACAGATGCCATGCTGCGGTTTGGCTTTGCGGACTTGGGGTCTTGCTGCAAAATCTCGCTCCTTGGTTCGCCGTAGCACTGCAATCACAATCAGAGCTTTTCTTCTCTGCAATAATGATGGTGCAAATGACGATGCTGAGGCAGAGTCTGAATGATAAAGCAATACTAGCTCGGGTCGTACTTTATGCAAGAGCCTTTCGGGAACCCATGCTTTGGGCATCCGTCCGGGCTTGCCTAATCCTGGCTGATGGCAGAGGCTGAGAGCCACATCTGCTTTTGAGCTGAAAGAATCACGCATGCCCCACATGAAGGGAGGTTTAGGGTTTAGGGTTTATAGGGTTTAGGGTTTAGGGAACCCACGACCCTAAACCGAATTAATCCTAGAAACCCTGTAAGCCCCAGAAGCCCTCCTAACTAAGCCTTGGAATTTGGTGGGCTAGGCGAAGAGAAGCCAGCCCTGAAGAGCCAGGCTCTGGACTTGTAGACTTGCAGCGCAATTCTGCTAAAATCCTCAACTCTAAAAACCCTCTGGCCCTAATGCCCAAAAAACTTACAACACCCTCAAACCCTGAAGTAAATGAGTGAAGAAATCCAGGCGCCAACAAGTACACCACGATAAACGCACCTCCTCACGACCCCCCCCCCCCGTAACAAAACAAACAACGCCCACAAGAAGAACCTACCGCCCTAACACAGCTCCCCCCTGAACCATAAATGCACCAAAGCCCTTAAAGACTTACTGTAAACACGAAAGCCCCGAAGCCCCGAAGCTCAAAGCTCTACCAGCACTCTAAGCCCCTCAACATTCAACCCCTGGGCCGCTTGCCCGCCCTACAGCCAAACATCCCAAACCCGAAAAACCCTGAAATCAGCCTAAAGTTCCCTAAAGCACCCCACAAAACCCAGCAGCTTGAGCTCATTGCAAACCCTAAGCTCCAAGGCACCAGGCAATTCCCGAAAAACCGCCAACGCCCGAAAACTGAGTGAAATCCTCAACCGCCCCACCGCCGCCCTTCACCTCTCCCTAAAAAAAAAACCAACGTCGATGCCCTAAAGCTAGTCTCCGGGCTCCTGGCAATCGATCCGGCTTTCCAGCTTGGCCGCAGTTTTTCTGAGGCCAAACGGATCAAGGTCGGACCTCGAGGAGCGGAGGAGGTTGGATGTAACATCATATGCATATGGGGGTTTCCGAAAATAGGGGGCCCTAATATAGTACCCTAAATAGTAGGACCCTGATTATAAGAACCCCAAAATAAGGTACCCTAATTTTTGGAAACTTCCATATAGATATATATATATATATATATATGTGTATGTGTGGTATGTATACATACACAAGCAGGCGCACCGTGTATTTTATTGTATTGTACTGTATCCATTCTGTCGCATATCATATCATACCATATCATGTCATATCATACATCATATGAAAAGTGAGACTGCGTGATGTGACATGACATGACACATGCACTACCGTGCATTGTAACATGTTATGATCCGGTATGATCTTACAACATGTATTGGATAGATGAGATGAGATTAGGATGGATGAGGTTAAACACTTAAATGAGACTTAGATTAGATCAGCAGAGATGGGAATAGACTAGATTGATATTCAGATTAGGATATACTACATTATCTTCTCATACATTTTTGCACTTTGTTACACATGTTAGAATGTGTTGAGTTGTACTGGAGCAAGACAGACTGTATTGTCAGTACATTACATTATTTTGAGGGACACTAATTACTTTATATCAATGTATCATGCTTTATGATAGTGTATTATGTTGTATCGCAAGATGTTGAATCATACTATAGCATGTTATACTGTATTGCGCTACATATTGTATCATTTTGTAATGAACCATATTGTAATATATTGTGTTCTACTGGACTGTAGTTTACAGAATATCATATCCATGCATGCTATTGTATTACAATGGAGACAGCTACAACTGTCCGCCTACTCACAAGAAGCAAACATATGTAATATGAATGAACAACCATACGTACATGCATGCATACTCGCGCGCAGACCTGTATCCATGTACCTTTGCATGCTTGCTTATCGTCTGTCTACAGACCAGTTAATTCTATTTCGGCTTCTACACATGTGAAGTACTTGTTATGGGTTCATACTTCACTGTACTTAATTACCCGCCCGCACATGGGGTAACTCTCAATGCTCTTGCTGTGGAGTTTGGGGTTGAAGCTTTGAAGTTTAGGGTCGAATTCTGCACTGGGCACTACACAGCTACATCCCAAACCCAAAACAGAGCTCCTGTGCTGTCCGAGGTGTCGGCGGCCGACCCTCTGCCAAGTCCTCCGGGGCTCAGAGGGACTGGCCCTTAAGCTTAAAGGCTTCAGGTGTGAGGCTTTTGGGCCGCATCTGTCGAACTTCTGCAGCCAGAACCAAACAAGACATGTATCAAGGGCTTTGAGGCTATTAAAGGGGACTTGGTGCACTTTGGCCGTTGTTAGGAAGCACGGACATGATCAACTCTGGGACAGATTGCAGAAATTTGGCTTACATTCACCCACGGAATCCCGAGAAACCACGAGTACACAGCCCAAAGCAAAGGCTCCTGCTTCCAGCCCAGAAGGCGCGCGTGCTCCTGGCGCACGTCAGCCAGTGATCTGCTCAGCACTGAGCAGGCCTGTGAGGACGTCAGGGATGGGCTGGCAGTGTACGAAGCCCCTAAGAACATGTACGTATGCATTGCCCGAGCTTGTTGCGATCGCCCTGAGACTACCAGAGGTTTCAACTTCCGACTGAGGTTTGGAGGTTCACTGTTTCCTGTGCTTTAGCATCCTGCAGCCGTGTTGGGGCTTTCAGATCTTTTCAGATTTCTGGCCTGTGCACCTGCGGCCCGGGCTCAAGAGCACAACGACAAACGTCGGGAGGCCCAGCGCTCTGCCTGCTGCCCTTCGCCGGCTGCCAGGGCGGTAGACTCTTTGCCTCGACAGGCCGGACGACAGTGTCGAGAGGGAACACAGCGGGAAACACGGGTTCAGCATAGCTGCGCGTTTGTGAATAGTTACATACCTGTATTTGTATTTGTGTTTGAAATTGTATGTATGCACGCATGGATGGATGGACGGATGGATGGATGCATTATGTAAACATATACAAATGAGTACCATGTAACTATGAACACACGTGCAACGAAGAGCATAAATGAGAATATGACTTTGCATATCATATGTATATACCTATATATGCATATATATATATATACATACATATACATCTGTACATATACACGCACATGTATCGGCATTTCATGTCGACCTGTGATATCGGGAGAGCCGAACTTGATTCAGGTCCTTTGTGGTCAACTCGAAGATACCACCAAAACAAGATTGCAGGGGAAGGAGTTTACTCATTTTAACTAAGTTTTAAATACACCGACAATGACCTCATGCCTGACGACGTTGAGCCGCAGACGCGCCAGCAACCGTGCGAGCTGCTTCTCTTCAGCTTGCAGTGCACTTTGGCACATCTGCACCTGGCATCCGGCAACGTGGCCAAGCTGCATTTGAACACCCTGCTCTGGACTCTGAACCCTCTGAACCCTAGACACAGCACCCGAAAATCTAATCACGCACCTAGATCCCAAAGCAACCTGCCCGACCTCTATCTTCTGAGGCCAAGGGTAACAGTCCGTGGGAGGCCCAGAGGTGGGCACGAGAAGCTGCGGGCAGTCCTAAGTAAACTCTAACTCTAAACTGTAGGGTGTAGGATGTAGGGCTCAGGGCTTCAATTTCAATCAATTTCAGCACGGAAGGTTGTTCTGAACTGGGGCCGACTCAAACGGGAATCTCTGAACGAAAAGTGTTTTCATACGTCAGCATCCATCGTAATGGCCTCCAAACGGGAGTTCGGTACTGCATGGATCCCTAAGAAGCCTGGACAGAGCTCTTTTTACCCTGGCCGCTCAGAGGAATCACCGGAAAATCTTAAACGATATCCGCATAGTATCAGGTAGGGACGAAGGACAAGCGTGGCCGAAAACTTGACAAGGATCAAAGAAAACTAAATCCATAACTCCAAACCCTAAACAAGGACAAGCCGTACAAGCCCCCCCTACAGGAAGGTTTTGAACCCAAAGCCCTGAACCCTAAAGATCCGTATCCACCAAAAAAAAAACACCTATGACTAGACCCTACACCTTAAATCCTATGACTAAACTCCTAAACCTTAAATCCTAAATCCTAAAACCCCTAAAAAGGGACGCTGGCGGACAGCCAGTGGCCCGCCTCTGTCTTCCATCGGCTCTTAGCCCCTGCATGTGCTTGCTGCGCTCTTTGTGCCTGCTTTCGGAGCGGTCCCAGGGTCTAGGGCAACGGTAAATGGGGCAGGGTTTAGGGCTAGTATAATTAAGGGGTCTAGTGATTAGGGTTAGCATAAGGTTTAGGGTGAGTATAAGGGGTTTAGGGCTTAGGGTTAGCATAAGGGGCTTGCGGTTTTTATTCCGGGCTTGGGGTTTAGGCTTACTCGGGTTCAAGTTACAAGAAGGATACAGGGTTTCGGGGTTGAGAGCTTCATAGGGCTCACAGGGTTAGGGCTTCGGTCACGGGTGCACGGCGCACCACACAAAGCGACAGAGGATCACGCCTCCACAAACCCGAAACCTGCTACCCGAGGTTTTGCAAAGACTGAGCTCTCGGCAGAGCCAGCTTGCAAAGAAGCGAAAGCCCTTCTCGTTCATGACCACCCCGGAACCTCCACCCTTCAGTCTGAGAATCTGTGGACTGAAACTGCCCCAATCCAGCGTCCGAACCTAACTCCTAAACCCCTGAACCCACAAACCCAATTATGTTATTTGCGACACCCCAAACCCTTCCCACGATCCTCCAAGTCCGCCTCGCGTCGCCGCTTGGCCACCTGGGGCAGTTCCTGGAACGGCTTGCAGAAGGCTGAACTATTCGGGGTTGTTTGGGGTTTCTGGTCTCTTGACGCCAACCTGCTAGGCCCTTTCTGGGGTCCTCAGCGCTATCATAACCCCTCTAGAAGTTTATATAATGACAAGAAAAACCAAGCATGATTGCCAAGCAACACCGGAATAAGGATTTCCAGGTCCCTAAACCCTAAACCCCAAAAGGCCTTTTGTTTGTTTTAAGGTGCCTACACCCCAAAATGCCTGTTCTTTGTCTATGAGGTGGGCGTTCTACTTTTGCCACGATCGTGCCTATTTCCGGAGTGGCGCTGCCTCAGACTCTAAAATCAAACCTCCGCGGCTCAGGTCTCGGATCCCTAAGGGTGGACGTACCTGCAGGGCATCTCTATATTAGAATATCCAGCCCTCCATCCATCCCTCCCTCCATCCCTCCATCCATCCCTCCCTCCATCCCTCCCTCCATCC